AGGCGGCGTGTGGATTTGGCATTTTGCACGACAAACATAAGGTTAAGGGGGAGCACGAGCAGTTGTGCACTTTCATACCGCGCCCGCTCGGCAGTCAACGCGTTTCCGACGGCGGCGAGTTATCCTGTGCAAAAGTATCGCACTCGTATTGCAGTCATGCATTACAAATCCCTGCGTCAAGGAAAATCAGCATTACAAATTTTATTTCTCATGCTGAGGAAATTTGTAATGCATTTATACGAGTACGAGACTTTTGCAAAACATACGAGTCCCAGAACCGCGGTGTTCGCGATATGGGATTCGCAAATGTTACGCTTTCAACTGTTACATGATTTGTCATGCAAATTTGCCACCAAGAGCGCCACCCTTAAGCTGCTTCGCATGACAAATCTCCGAAGGGGCTAAACAGCATGTAAATCTGTCCCAAATCTGTAATGCAAAAGGCGCCAGCTTTCCCCATTAACTTTTGCCGTTCTTGCATTACAAATTCATACCACAGTTGACGAGAATGTAACATTTGAGAACGCCATATGCGACTGCCATGAGCCACACGTAGAGCTCAGCGTTCCGCTCGAAGCGCAGGAGCTGCTATCCAATGCAAACATGTTTGGGTCTGGAAACTTGTGATGCTACAGTGTGGATGATTGATACACTTGTACTTGTTCTGAATGCAGCCAAGCGTGACAACTTTCCAGAATGCTTTGTCATGCGCAGCTCGCAGAAGAAGCTGCGTTTTTGTATGACGAAAGAGACTGCGCCTTTGTTTTGTTGGTCACGCAATAGTACAGATTTCACAGAAAAAATGTAAGACCTGCATTTTTACAGGTTCGAACTTTATTCCAGACTCAGACATATTTGCAATGCGTAGCTGTCGCCAGGCACCGAATTCGCTGTCCAACGTGATCGCGGAGAGAATGTAGGTGAGAAACAAAGTGCTTGCCGTAGACAGTGCGAACACGAAGGCCAGCAGGAAATTGAAGGCTCGGGTCGGGTATCCAGTGCAAATATGTCTGGGTCTGGAAGGTTGCAACTTGTGGTGCTGTCTTTGGATCCTAAGAAAATTTGTATTGCATGACCAGGTGGAAGAGGAGTACAGTTTGTGCTACGCGGGAAGGGCATTTATCATGCAGAATAGGCATCAGGAAGCCGTCATCTAAAAAGCTAAAGCTGTGATGCTAGGTCATGCATTACAAGCATCGTGGGTCATTCAAAATTGCATGACAAACCTGGTGGCAATATTCCAGACCCAGACATATTTGCAATGCATATCGGAAAATGCTCCTCTTTGGATTCGGTTTCGGGTACAAATGCGTTGCTTGCGACCGAGTTCATCAACAAAGCGAATACCAGGATGTACGCCGACAGGGCGGCGATTATCGTAAGGAAAAATCCTTCCTCCCCATATTGAAAACATGTCCCTCCGAAAATTTGTGATGCAGATTTGTGGCCACAAATCCTGTCTGTCTTGCCAGAAGGCAAATCCAGAGAGTCCGCCACGATATGCAGGCGGTTTGTAATGCTGTAAGGCCTACAGGGCAGATGTCTGCTATGCTAGGCCCCTACACCAAAAGGCCCCCCATTAGGCTTGCGATCTGCGCGCAGTGCTTTCCTGCAAGACAAATGTTATTTGTGTACACAAATCCCGCATCACAGATTTCCGTTTTGATATGGGGAGGGGGGATTTTTCATTTTGATAGCGATGATGAGCTCCTGCGCCCGCCCCGGGGAGTTCGCCAGCGTCAGGGTAAATTCCGCTGCATTCCTATCCAAGAAAAAAAGGTTGTTAGTGTAAATTTGTGATGCGCAACATGCAAATTGCTTGAGCCTGTCATGCTTGGCATGCATCTAAGGGTCCATTCAGCGGCGTTTTCCCGTACTATCTGCGCATGACATGGTTTTTGCTGTCATGCGGGAGATATTTGTCATGCTAATCCTCCAACAAAGTTACACCTACAAATTTTTTTTCCTGGATAATACCAGTGGAACCGCGCACCCTCGTGCCGGAGCTTGTCGTATCAAAAGGAAAAATCCCCCCTCCCCATATCGAAGCCGTATCGTATCCGTCTGAAAATTTGTGATGCGCATTTGTGACCCTGACCTCAAATCCTGTCTGTCTTGCAAGAAGGCAAGTCCACAAAGCGTTCCGCATTTTTCAGGCGGTTTGTGATGCTGTTTGGCTCAGAGCATACACGTTTGTCATGCTAGGCGCCTACGTCAAAACCTCTCGGCTGAGGCTTGACATATGCCTGCATTCCTCTACTGCAAGACAAATCTGATTTGTGTATGGAAATCCAGCATCAGAAACTTCGTTTCCATATGGGGAGGGGGCATTTTCCTCATGATATGTCGATCTTGGACTTTAGAAGGAGTAAATCCCGTTCGCCAAGCAGCGCACGCCTGTGGTCGACCTTATCAAATGTAAAAATGTGTGGGTCTGGAAGGATCGATGCAAGATTTGTCATGCATATTTTGCATGACCCGTGATGTCTGTAGTGCATGATCTAGCAACACAGATTTTCAGAGGGCCTCCTAATGCCTATTCCGCATGAGAAATGCCCTCTCCGCGTAACACAAATTGGAGTCCTGTTGCTGGTCATGCAATACAGATTCTTTTGGAATCCAAAGACAGCATTACAAATTGCAATTTTCCAGACCCAGACATTTTTGCAATCCATAGACCTCGTGGGGCGACGACTTTCCTCTTGCGCTGGAAGAAGATTTTGCATTTGCTTCCTGCTCGCCCTCTTCCCCTGGTGGACCGACCATGTTGTTATCGCGGTGGTGCCGCCGCGCTAGCATCAACATGTTAATACAACAATTTTTCACCCGATACAGCAAAAATTACAGACACCGGACGAATTTTTTAGATCGTCAACCAGAGCGAATCTTTTATAGCATTTTTTACTGTGTGCAGGGAGTCCTCATGTATTAAAGTAGGCGCGGTTCCTAAAGTAGGAGTGGTTCCGTTGCGGCAACATCAATGTTGCCAGATGAAACTACCATGCCTAATGGTCATCCATGCCAGAAAGAATGTTCCGGGGCGCAATGCACTCAACCTGAGCGCAGCGGAGAAGTAGTTACAATGCACTAGACAGTTGCAAGCAAAACGTAAACGTCGCAGAAAAATTTTGAAAACCCGAGTATCCTCTAGACGACATTATATTTCTATTTTCGCCGTTACCATCGATTTGGCATTTGAAGACGACTGTTGTTTTTGTTTGACGATCAGTCCCCCCAACGATAGAAGACGAACGAAAGCGAGCCTTGGACTTGGAGTTGACGATTTTGTACATCTTTTGCACGTATTTGAGTTTGTAATTGTCTATCGACAACGAAGGAGTCCGTGGCAACTACTGCTCTAGGTTGATGGTGTACAGTATGGATGCTGCCGGACCAAGATCCCTTAGGCGTTTCCCCAGTTGCCGCACCAGGATCGCCAGGCATGGGACCTGCATACACGGGGGGGGTGCAGGACAACACTGCAGTGCTGTGTCCTATCCTGCCGTCGTGGCCTTACTCGCCGGGGCTCAGCGATATGTCCTGCTTGACTACTGAAGACCCCCCGCACCCATGGCGAGGTGCTGGACCGGGCGGCCCGCTTGCTCTGGCTTTGTAATGGGGCCCGGTATTGTGGCTCGGTTATTGTGTGCTTTAACAAGCTCCCGGGGGTTTGGGCTATGCCTGTCCCGGCTCCTGTGTTGCCGGTGCTCCGCTCTCTTCCGTTACGCCTTGGTGTGGCGGCTAGGGCTGTGGCCTATGGCGTGGCACTACCTAGCAAAGCGGGCGGCGGGGCTTGCCACCCTTTTTTGCCCCGCCGCGTTGGATACCAGCTTCCCACCCGACTTCGCTGCTGGCGTCCCTGCTGCCTTGGTCGATCCTTCAGGCCCGCCGGCGCTACCTGCTACACCCGCCCGCCTTCCTTGCAACACACCAATACACCCTCTGCGCCCTATCGACTACCTCACCCCCTGGGCGGGCCCGGATGCTTTTCTCGATCCCCCGCGGGTCTCGTCCCGGTCCGACCTTGGACGGGGGGCTTGAGACACTGACGGCGCGCGGGCTTCTCGGATCTTCTCAAGCTGGGCCGTAGTGCTACGGCTTTCGGGCGTACCGGCGTGACAGGGGGAAGGCAAGCGCAGCAGGTGCGGCGCCCGCTCTGTCTTAGTGCAATCTCCGGCGGCTTCCTCAGTTGCCTAGGCTCCTTGCGCTGAGGCGCCGGCTCCTGCTCCGATGCGCGCCTGTGAGTGGGCACTCTAGTGCCTATGATGGGGCATCTGTGTGAAGTGCGCGCCCTATGACTTGGGCACCACCGCACGGACATCCACGCCGTAGCCGATGTCACTCCTGCACGCCTGTGGTATGGCCGTGCGTGCCTATGGTTTGGCTGGAGGGGGAGTCCGTGGCAAATACACGAAGCCCAACCTTTTGTTTTTGTTGCGTGTCGTTCCTGTTGTCGTACTTTGAGCAGAAGATAAACACCGAAAAGTCTTCTTGTAAAAAGGTACGGAGGTCTTTACGACACAAGTAGCCACCGGCACTTCATCTGTTCTTTCACATGGTAGTATTTCTTGAGTATTGCTGCGGGTTCGTTTTTTTTGAATTTGTCAGACCAAACAGAAGGCGTTTCATTTCGCAAACTAGAGCTCTACAACTTCTATAAGTACTTACTGCAGGCTTCTTTATGGATCATTCGTGGCGAAAGCTAGAGCTACGACCACCATCTCGTCAAAAATAGCCGATTGCGATTGCATTGTACAAAATTGAGTTAGCGTTCAAATCAAACACTTCTCAAGTTCCTTCATACACCAAACAGCCTCTGCTGCATCTATCCTTCCGTCCCAAATTTATTTTCCGCTGCCGATGCTGGTGGTTGTAGAATACCGGGTTCTTCTGCCATCGCTGGTGTGCCATGCCTGATGTTCGACCAGGGTTCTCTAGTTCAGGTCAGCAACAGATTTTCCTCCACTTCCTCCGACGAGGGACCGCCAGTTCTTGCTGCGACGCATCATTTCTCGCATCATTTGCGTGTCGCCTCTGGTGTTGCCGTCTGCTATTCCGCGGCGAAGATGAGAGGTAGCCATGAGGGTGATTATGAAGATCGCGCCCGGAGGGCGATATTGGTAACCAAATGCGTGCGCGAAAATCTAACCAGCGCGAAAGCCAAACCAGCCGCGCGGCTGCCACCACCATTTTTTTTAATTAGAATCCCACTTCTTCTTCTTGGGTCGCGGGCCGCAGTTGTGCTCGCGGCCCTTTAGGGCCGCGACCGCAAACTGCGGCCGCGACCGCAAACTTCTTTAGGGCCGCGACCGCAAGTGCAACCCGTAGACTAGGGTCCACATGTGTCGCTTCCAGAACATGGCCGCGGCCGGCTGGGATGTCAGTCGACGCTGCTAGTTTTAGTGCACATAGGTTGAAAGTAAGCATCGCCATCTATCGCGGGTCATCGGGGGCTTCCGGATTCGCATTCAAAGCTTATCGCAGGAGCCTGCGGGCCGCCGCGGGCTCCACCACTTCCCCGCGGCCCTAAAGGGCCGCGGACAACTACTGTCGCCCGCGGCGGCCCGCAGGCTCCTGCGATAAGCATTGAA